AGCGTCGTCGTTTTGTTTCGACTTCGGTGGCTCTTGGCTTTTAATTTGATTGAGGTTTGTGTGTGGAATTGTAGTCCCAGGGAAATTCGTCAGGGAGAGGAGATAGCGTGGTATGCTGATGGCGAAACTTTGGTGCGGAGCGAGTATAACCCGTCCCTCGCGTATGCGTACGGTAAATATATGCAACATTGATGGTTATTAATTTACGAATGGAGCTTTTGTTGTTTACTATTGTTTGATTGCTATGGAATGTGAAATATATGTTAGGTATATCGGTGTATAGTGCTTTTGAGGTTGTATGTACACTTGTACAACATTTTAGTATTCAACTTCTCTTCGATTTATTCTTGAGAATAGAAGCTCGTGAAGGTGATAGCTGAAATTGATGGCGACATTATTGTTATTATATATTGACTTAATTGATGAATCCAAAGCTAGAAGTATTAGCATTCTTTTTTGGATTAGAAGAATAAACTTTTATTAGAAGAAAGGAAGGATAAGAATCATTGTAAGGCAAAGCTATTAGGAAAGCCAGACAAGACTAAACAAAAATAACGCAACTAATAATGTGAAATAGCTCTCCAATTCCTTTGGAAATCTATGATGGGGACTTCTATGAAGAATCCGTGTACTGGACACCAAAGAAAGGTTAAGCAAACAATCTTGTCTCAAATCCTGGCTTAGAAAGATATGTTACGGTAAAATTCTGAGCATTGCTTGTTAAGTATTGACTACAGTCTACAGGTACTGAAGTGCAGTGAGCACTAGACACTGTCAAATAAATTTTCCTTCCTTACTACTGCTGAAACCTCTGAAATTAATGATTAGGAAATGATCCAAGTTCTGAGGACACATCACATGCCCATTTATCAGCATATACACCAAAGCAAGGCTCCAAATTTAGCACGCTGTTGAACAATGTAGTAAATATATTCCCCTTTTCTGAATTAGAACAACAAATCAGACACATACTAAGAGATAGGACCTTGTTAGATCTATGGCTATGAGCTTGCAGCATGCCATTAGTTTTTATTTTGTCGGGTACTGGCCGAATGAAGGAGTTTTAGATTTCCAAATGGTTTCTCAAAACAGAGTTTTTTTCTTCTTCGAGGTTTTGAGAATGGGTGAGAATGTGAGATACTGACTACCATGAACTGCTATGATGTGGAGATGATGCAACCAAGAAATGCTGAAGACTAGAGGCATGAAAAAGCCTCAGAAAGAAATATACTTTACCTATAGTCCTTCCAAAATCTATTTCAGTTTCACTGTTACGCATGGTTTTCACCATTTTTTGTACTAATTTTTGAAAATAGGAAACAAAGTTGTATTTTTCTAATTATTAGTGAGAACAAAAATATGAAAACATAAAATTTTTTTTAAACAGTAAAACCAAACAGGCCCTAACTTTCCAAGACCAAATCCACCATTCTTTTTGGACCTACAACAGATTCTCCATCTGGCCAAATGATCTCTTCCTTTATCACCTGCACCCAACCAAAGAAACTCTTTTCTAATCTTAATCCTTTGTGTTAGCGCTACTGGAATTATCAAAAGATGTTAGAAGTAGGGAGGGAGCCGCACAAACAAGCCTGGATCAGCTTAATCTGACTTCCTAATTAAAAACTGTTGTGATTTAGGAATTGTGTGTATTGTTATACACATACCAATCTTATTTATAGAGTGAATACAATAAATGATAGAGATACTAATCTCTAATATTATGGAAACTAATCTAATCCCTAATTGATAGTGAGGATAATAACCATAATATATGTATCTACAATATCTATAATATATTCACAATATCTGTAACACTCCCCCTCAAGCTGGAGCATATATATTATATGTACCAAGCTTGTTACAAATGTAATCAATCTGAGGTCCTTTAAGCGATTTTGTGAACACATCTGTTAATTGGTCATCAGAGGCGGCCCGAGGCAGTGGTCGGAGGTGGTGACCGGAAGCGGCGATCGAAGTCGGCGGCCACCTGAAGCGACGGTCAGAGTCGACGACTGGAAGCGGCGGTCTGAGGCGGCAACTGGAGGCGGCTATCGAAAGCGGCGGTCGGAGTGGGGGACCGGAAGCGGCGGTTGGAGTCGACAACCGGAAGCTGCGGTCGGCGGCGCGAAGATCAGAGGCGGCGGTCGGCGGTCGATGACCGAAGGTGGCAGTCGGTGGCACGACGATCGGAGGCGGCGGCCGGCGGCAGCCGGAGGTGGTAGCGAGGGCAGTTGCAAGAAGAGAGAAAATATATTCTAAAAGAAAAACCTAAGCTCAGATACCGTGTTGTGATTCAGGAATTGTGTGTATTGTTGTACATATACCAATCTTATTTATAGAGTGAATACAATAAATGATAGAGATACTAATCTCTAATATTATGGAAACTAATCTAATCATATCCCTAATTGATAGTGAGGATAATAACCATAATATATGTATCCACAATATCTGTAATATATTCACAATATTTGTAACAAAAACAAAGGCACCTAGCTATTTTTTTTTTGGCTCTTTCAGATCTCTATGTCTTGATTATGTGATCTTAAAAGATGGTACTTGAGGATTTTCTCCCTTAGAGTGATCCTTAAATAAGTAAATGAGTCCAATTGAGGACTTAGCAGTGGGACCCTACCAAAGTAGTCCATAGAATTAAGAAACTGGTTCTCTACTTCAATTCTAACTAACCCACTTTTGGTTATGTTAGTTTCAAGTAAAAAAAAAAGTTGTACTTTGAAGAAGAGTAATGATATAAATGCTTATCATGATCGCCTTAGAAGATTATAAACTAAAGGTCATGATATGGTGCATTTATTACAAATAAATTTGTTTATCATATGCATTTCATTCTTAGGAAATAATGTTTTTGTCCCCCTCTCCTAATTTCATCTGTGAATGTTGTGTAATTAATTATTTTTTTTCTGTTACTTGTAGACCGTGTCTTTGGTCCCACAACTACAACTCGCCAGGTCTATGATGTTGCTGCTCAACATATTATTAGTGGTGCTATGGAGGGCATCAATGGTAATTGACAGATTGAACTTGCTGCTTGCTATCTGTTCGGCTTGCTCAAAGTATAAAATGATTAAAATCTAGTTTTACTATAATCAAATTATCCTTAATATGCAGATAAGTTATGAATGTATGTTTTAAAATAACACTAAACCTGAGTATTATGTCAACTAATTTAGATTTAAGAGTCTGTAATTTGATTTGTTTAGTTTGATATTGCCAATCAGCTCTGTGTTTGCTACTAATGCTCATTGAAAATCACAGTTGTTATTTTGACTTTGGAACTGTATCAATTTTATTGAGTATTGACATTTGACAGACCATTGAAAAAAACTTACTAAGGATTGCCATCCAAAATTTTGGTCAATTTGTATAGAAGCCGTATGTTTTTGGCTTCGTGATCACTTACCTTATGATTGTTGATAAAATAAGATTGCAAAATGCTCAGATGCTTGCATAGGGAGGTAGGCCAGATCATGATGTTACCTTAGAGGTTTGAGATTCAAGATCTTAGCAACTGGTTTCACCTAATGTTGTCATTGCATACAATAACCAGTTGGCTTGGACATTCACATGATCAATGCAGAAAGAGAGGTAACTTGATGATTTGGACATAGGAACATTTCCCTTATGAGTGATACACATGCAATTTCCTTTATCTGGAAACCTATTTATTTGAGGTTCTTTCTTCTTGAAGTTGGTCATTTCAATTAAAAGTCATCATGTATTGAGCAATTTACAAAGAGCCAGTCTTGACCTATGTCTCCAAGGAACTAGATTGTTTCAATTGTATACTGACGTATTGAGCAACTTACAAAGAACCATTCTTTGGTTGTTGTTGCAGGTACAATATTTGCATATGGGGTAACAAGCAGTGGGAAGACTCATACAATGCATGTGAGACTGCACTTAAGATTCTCTCGTATCATCTTGTTGATCTGCAAGTTTACAATGAATTTACCTATATGTTTTTTTTAAGGTCCTAAATCTTATCATCCTTTCCATGGCAAGGTACTTATGATCATTAAACCATACCTAAATCACAAAAAGAAATTCTTGATGGTTTTGATACATGCTATTCTTCATGGTGGATGTAACACTGAGTTCCTTGATGTACTTTCCTAATAGACTTGCTACTTCATTTAGTTTAAACTGCAGCAACAACTTTTAGCCTTATTATATTGTGAAATATATTAATTACCAGATAACATAGCATCATGGGAAGTGTTCGTTTCAATGGGTCATTATGATTTAAACCTGTTTATAATTACTGTTGGTACAGGATTCTGTAAATTCTATATATTCCTAGTTCTAACATCTGTGTCTCTTTCCTGCTTGCCTTTATTGTACTTATTCTCCTTTCATGGATTTTCACATCTAACCTGATATCAATAAAATTAAAAAATAAAATCTGTTTGTGTAATATTTTAGCCAGTTATTATTCAAATTTTGTATAAATATTTTGAGTCACATAATAGTTAATTAGAAATAATTTCACGTATGTTGTAATTATCTTGATAATGCAACATTGGCAAATATCCATTTCCATCCACAAGGATTGTAAATTCAAGTATCCATTTCACAAATTGAATTGCTATTTGAACTACAAAATCTAATAGTTCTGCAGAAGTATCAACTCAATTATAGACTAAAACCAGTGAAAGTCAATGGAAATATTTGTGCAACTAGAGGAGGTACAGCAAAACTGGTGGAAATACACTATTCAAGTCTAGCTAGGCATTTAATTCACTATTCTAATCAAGTTTTTATTCCTTGCTGGCCTAACCCTATCCCTTAATCATAAGCCCTAATAACTTAGATGAATTCAATTGAAATATTCATTAGGTTTAGAAATTCACAAGATCACATAAAAAGTTAACTTCTATCCCTAGGTAATTAAGAATTTAGTTGCTTTACTTCAAATCTAAATCATTCTTCTATTTTCCAGTTGTTACAAGAACAACTCTGAATTCACCCAATGATTGGTTAAGTAACAGATATATTAAGAAATGAAGTTGGCAATCAATTTGAACAATGAAACCTTTAATTGAGATTAAAGAATTAAGTTTCTGTAGAATTCAGATTGGGAATCCTCATTCCCTAACCTAAAAAACAAGCACATCATAGTGAAAAGAGGTAAATTAAATGGAGACAAATGAGGGATTAAATCCATAATGATTTGGGGATGCAAATCTCTTATTTACACAAAGATTAAGCTCTGGTGTAGCCATGCACATAGGACAGAGAATGACCTTTTGGTCTGATCTGGTGTGTACATGCTGAACTTTTGGCATGAACATGTGTGTTAATGCAGAATATGAAATTCCTTTACGTTGGCTGGAGTGTGGACGTGCTGGAAAACTAGTGTATTCATGTGCACTAGTCAGAATTGGATTTTCCTGGACATGCTGATTTTCTTGGGGGTATGCAAGTTGATGTTCCAATACCAAAGTTACTCCAATTTGTTTGCTTCTTCTCCCTTAAATGCTTCCTACGTTAATGAAAATGCTCAGATTAGGTACTAATAGACTGAAACATGATATAATTTTACACTAACCTAAACAGAGAAAGAGATTACGCAATGAAATTAATAATTCGTACGTACTCTAACAAGCAGAAGGGACATGGATGAAATTAAGCTCTATTTTCCCTCTAAATCCGCATATGAACTGGATTTATCAATGAAATTAAGCTTAATCTCTATTTCAAAAGCTTAAGCTATTGGGTAAAGAAACATGAAGGGATGTTATATCTAAGATGTTCCTTCTTCCCTCAAGAGTCCTTTAGGCTTGAAGTGAGGACAATGGACATACATACCCATCTTATCTCATGCTGAAGTATAGGGAAAACAAGTTTCATAAACTAAACCACATGATCTAAAGACACTGATACCATGTCATCAATCAATTGTCTCAAAAGCTTTAGTTGTTAAGTGAACACACCAGAGATTTTATTTGTATTGGGAATAATAAATGAATGAACAAAATAAATAATCAATATTAATGCTTCATTGAGGATGCTATGTGCTTTGTAAATATAAATAGGAAAAGAATGCTAGTTAGTTAGTCTGCTACTGTTAGTTAGGATTTTATAGTCATTGGATAGCTGCCTATAAATAAAGGATGACTATTTATTTTAGAGTTTAGACAGACTAGAATAATAATAGATGTGCACTAGTCAGATTTTGATCTCTTTGATTCTCTTGTCTATCTCATCCCTCAATCCTATCTGTTTTGTTCTTCTTCCCTTTTCTCCTCTTTCTTTCTGTTTCTTTCTCTTTCCCACCTAAATCCCATACCACTATGGCTATATAAAAGACATCATTTGGTTTTTTTGATCAGTAAAGACATCATTTGGTTGATTACAAGGGTGATTGGCTGGTGGCAACCTTCCACAGGCAGGCATCACTAATGCTATTTATATTATTAATCTCAGTCAGGTTTTAGTGTAGTACATCTAGTATTCACCCATGACTGGTAAAATTATAATACTATTTAAACTATAAGAACCCTAAGCAGTTAATTCCTTCTTAGCCTTCTATCATGATATATAATAATAATAATAATAATAATAATAATTATTATTATTATTATTATTATTTAATTATTATTAGTTTTGAAATAAGAATAAATAATTTAATTGATTTTATCAGCTATTTTTTCCAATGGTGATAGCGTTGAGTTAAGCTATGAATTTGCTTTACTGAATATAACATTATATTCTCATAAAGCTCATATGTGCAGGGTGATCAAAGATCTCCAGGAATTATACCTCTAGCTGTGAAGGATGCTTTTAGCATTATCCAAGAGGTATGTTGAATACCAGTTTCCTGTTCCTTCTTTTTATTGTATTTCTTACCATATAAATTGGATGTTATTTTACACCAGACTCTGAACAGAGAGTTTCTTCTTCGAGTTTCGTACTTGGAGATCTACAACGAGGTAGGCTGCTTCTCTTTCTCTAGCTTCTTGCTTGGGATGATACCTTCATGTTGATATTGTCTTACACAAACTTATTTTTCTCTGGATTGTGAATCAAATGAAATTTAATAAATGTTGCTTTTTTCTTTGCTCTGCTACCCCTAAAGCTTCGTTTTTATTTCAGGTGGTTAATGACTTATTAAATCCAGCTGGACAGAACTTAAGAATCAGAGAGGATGCTCAGGTGCTTGTTATATTCTTTCTTACCAAAATTTAATATATTCCATTTTTAGTCTTGACAACTAAAGAGAGAGTAAAGATCGGATTAGGTTGCTTTGACTTTCTTTGATCATGTGTTGATAGTGCTCTAGTCCAAAATTTTGATTATGAAGTATATTAATCATTGTGAATTGGGGGTCAACTCATGTGGATCAGTGAATGTAAGACATGAGATCAATTTATGTAGACCATACTATATAGCATCATGGACATTCGACACTTGGATTAACTAATGTGTGTGCATTAAATATCAATGACTTGTTCCATTGTCATATCAGTCCCTTTTTCTATAACATAGTGATAAAGCACTGAAATTATTTTCTAACATGTTCTGCTCACCATTTCTAATGTTCCTTAAACTAAGGACTTTCAATATACTTATGTGATGGCATTGGACTTGAAACTCTAGTAAGCACATCCAAACATCACCATTTCCAAGAGGAGAGGGAGATGGATTGGATTTTTAACTTATTCTTGTGTCTTTGACATTTTTAGTTTTGTAGATTTTATCTTTCTTTTTCGCGTTGTTATGAAACTTTATGCTTATGGTATAAAACATTGATGAATCTTATTTCATAGAATATATTTCTAATTTGTTATCTTTATGTTATTATCTTTTATTATTTATTGTGTTTAGCATTTTTTCTTTTTATTATTATATATTGTATGTTTTTTCAATTCAGCTGCTATGCGTCCAATATTTGCCTGCAATGTAATCTACCATGTTGTATGGCAGATTTTTTGGCTTTCTGCTATGGACCACCATCCACAATTGATAACATAGATTAAAGGTTGTATATCCATGTGAGATAATTTTCTAGGGGCTAAAAGAATAACGAGAGATAATTGTTGAGGTAGAAGCTTTATTTCTTGTTCTCCACCTCTTCTCTCCATTTGGAAAAAGGAAGTATTTGAAAACAATGGTGGAGTATATACTGCAATTTGAAGATTTGAATCAAGTCTATTAAGAACCTATATATATGGATGTCTTGCATTACCTTTACCTATATACTACTCCCTCCATCCCACAATGATTGCAGTTTAAGGTTTCTACACATACATTAAGGATAACAATAAATGTATCACTTTATGATACATTTTACTAAAATAACCTCACTCTCTCAATAAATGCATTACTTTTATTGGAAGTAGTAGTGTATAATTAATGAAGGGGAAAATTAGAAAAACACTAATTAATATTGCATTGAAGAGTGAGAACATCAATCATTTTGGGGCAATTTTCAAATGCTAAAATTGCAGTTAATTTGGGAATTGGGATGGAGGGAGTACATTCCACTGAATAATAAATCACTTATATTTTCTAAATTCTCTTAAAAAATATTATCTTCTCTTTCTCTCTCTTCGCCCTCTAAATCTTCCCTTCGAAACTTAACATGGTATTAGAGTGATACCATCCACTGTGATCTGTCTCATCACAGTTTGTCGGCCATGTTTTCAGTAGATTTCTCTTATTTTGAGTAGTTGTCTGATCTTGCTTTTCACCACTACTATGGCTGCTGTACTAGTTCCATTGCAACAAGTTCATATTTTGGCTACCTGAATCATTGTTATGGTCACTTCCCATTCACTTTCCAGCTTTTGTTTTCTGGTGGCCAGCGACCTGTGGCTGATGACACCTGATTCTGGTGGTTGGGTTTCCTTCATGATCTTTTTTTATTGCTGCAAGTTTCATCCTAATTGGATAGCAGACACACCTGTATGTGCTGCCTGATCTTTGTATCATCCAGAGTGTAAGCCACACACTACCATTTACTCGCTGGAATTCATCACCATCAGCATTGTCTTGTGTGTTGGCTCAATTTGAGCTCATGTATTTTTTTTTTTTTTCTGGGGGGGGGGGGGGGGTGGGTTTTTTAAGAAAG